AGCAATAAAAATCAGAAACGCTGAAAAAGTGAACCGAATTGAAATATTTGATATTTTTTAATCTTTTTGGTCATGATTTTGTCTGCAGATTCTAGATGTTTATGATGTGTGTAGATTTTCACTCACACACACACACACACACACGCACGCACACACACACACACACACACACACACACACACACACACACACACACACACACACACACACACACACACACACACACACACACACACACACACACACACGCACACACAAACACACACACACACACAATTCTAGTTCTACATCTTATCTAAATATTCCAGGAATCGCTTTAATCGAGGCCTTCTTGCTGCCTTAACCAGAAGAATTGGCTCCACCTACGAGAGGATGAGTCAATAAATAAATAAATAATTATAAATAAATACATAAAGATGACGGAACCACCGAACCAACCCAGTATTTAATACAATAATAAAAGCTGTTAACACCTTCTCTCAGTAGAAAAGCAAATGCTGCACTAACATAATGTAGCTCAACAGTAACGTTGATCACATGTTTGTAATTCCCGTACTGAAAGGATGCAAAACCATTATTCTGCAGTTTCAGACAGAAATCTGGACATGAAAACAGTTAAAAACCCTTTTCTTTTTCCAAATAAAATGTTTATTGTTCAGGTTTGGGTCCGAGTTGTGAGGAGTCCCCACGAGGCTCCGGAGCCGCACGTTTCACAGCCCTGCTGTAACAAACCCTCGCGGTCTGATCATGAATCACTGCTTCGCTATACCTGAATGAATGCATTAACACCTTCGTGCAGCAGAAAGAGGCAGCTTCGTGCTTCCTCCTGTGAACGAGTTTAAACGGATACATTCTTCTCCACTACGGCGTAATTAGCTAGGATGAGTGTGAGTAGGAGTTAATGGAGAGAAATCCGGCACAAGTGGGTGAAAATGACATTAGGAGACTATAGCAGCATGTCAGACGTTCCTGAAGAGATGGTTACTTCACACAGGAAGAGAACCAACGAGGTTCAGAGTTTCAGTTTAAGCTTCAACCAATCAGAAATGTTCAGTTACTGTTTTCTATTCTTCCCAGGCAGTTATAAGGTTATAGAAATGTAAAACCATTAAGGTCACATTAATGTGAGATATTCAGAAGAAACCTTTTGTTCAAACATCTCCATACTATTCTGTCTCAACTGAGTTGAGTTCAGGTTTCTAAAACCTGCTGGAGACGTGTTTCTGTTCCTGAAACTCTTCTGGTGAACAATGAAGATTAGGGAGGTTTGGATTTAAGCGTCATTCCAACAAACCCCAGATCCACAGATATTTGCCATTTGGTATCCATCGCCATCAGACCATCACCCACCTTAGAGCCGATTTAAAGTCAGGCACGTCCACAGGCAGCCGAATGCAAAGGACCCCAAGCCAAAACTTTAATATTTTCCTTGGAGTAAAAGTTGGGGCTTCACTTCTGATATTCCCAAACCCCACAGCCATAGAATCAGATGTAAAATATGAAATGTTGGGTTCACTGAGTGGAAGAAAAATGAGCCGTAAGACCCGTCGGTAACCAGCGTGACGATGCGGTGGTTTAATATCCGTTAGCAGACATCTAAAACTGTCAGATACTTGTTTCCTTCACATAAAAGCTCCAATTTTATAGATTAGAATACTTTTCCTGACTGGAAATCTGAGAATGTCACCACATTCCTCGGCCCTCTGCCCCTCTCACAGACACCGTCTTTTTCCACGTTGTGTGTCGGAGCACATTTGATTTGGAAACTAATTAAAATTTGACAGTGAAAGATAAATAAGTGTGATCCATCCGTTTCCTGTGTAATTCTGACAGAAATCATCTGATCAAACGACTGTCTGGAATCGACCCCAAAACTCGGAGCCTGTATCGGCCCTGAGCAGCAGGAAAACCCACATCCGTCCATCTTTTCTCCAATCTCTGAGGCTACGCAGCAGGAAAATTGTAGCCGAGCAGCACTGCTCTCTTTCACTTGTTATTTAAAGACCTTTCCCAGTTTTCTCATTTTGGAATTTCCTCAGCAGCTTCATGCAACTTTGATGAAGACTAACCCTGTTAGCAGGTTTCAGCTCCGAGCTTCAACCAGAGTGTCTGCAGACAACAGGAACCTCACATTGGAACTCCACACTGACCGTCCCATGCCAAACATCAGCACCATTCCTCGTCAGGAGCTTTATTTACCGTATTATCCGAACTGTAAGCCGCTACTTTTTCCCATGCTTTGAACGCGGCTTATAATGAGGTGCGCGGCTTTAAAAGGATGGATGCTGGAAATGAGTGCTATGGAGGATTTTTTCACAGTAGGACGGCACTGCGTGTTCTCACCGCTTCACCCCGGGATGATGACAGCAACACGGAGAGCGACACTGACCGTTAAACTACGTTTTCAATTCAGTAGATATCTGCGGCTTTTAGCCCGATGCTGCTTATATTGAGGTGCGCTCTAAAGTCCGGAAATTACGGTAGTTTCTATAAACGATTCCAGGTCTGAAATGTGCCACAAACTGCAGTTTTCAGAGGAATATTTCTGCTTTCTTCACCTCTTATTAAACCAACGCTTAAAAGCCTCAATCCTTCAGCGGGAGAAGCTGCTCCCTGATATCACCCACATCTCATGAGGCCGTCGGTTTTCCAGACACAGAAACTCAATTATGAGCTTTTGATTTCTTAGAATATCACATGACCGAATTAAACTGGAATCACCCCTGAACACATCGGGCTCTTTTCCAAATGAAAGAACAAATTGCTTTTTTTGTGGAACTTTAGCCTGAAGGGAAGCAGAGACGTTGGTTCGGTGTCAGTCCTGGCACGAGTCCAGCAACCTTTCAAATTAAAGGCCCAGCATTCCCTTTCCTGCGGCTTCTCAGCTCTGGATCTGACGTTGGGAAATTATTGTGTTGTTTTCGCTCAGATGTGGATGTCTGAAATCCCGGTTAGGGTGATTTTTCTGATCGACATATTTATGGAATCTTTACTTTTACAGAGTCTGAACTTCGTATTATGAAAACCTCCTGATGAGAAGCAACTAATGGCATAGGGATGAGTTGGGAATGCTGCAGCACAGCATCTATACAAACAAATGACTTGTGTTACATTTACTGTACTAAACAAAAATCCTGGAATTGGAAGAAATAGACAAAATAACCAGCTGCAAAATAAAGCAAACCCAGGATTCCAGATCCAGCTCCCAGGGATCATGCCCTGGAATGCCCACCAGTCTGGAAAAGTCCCCTGCTTTTTCCTCTAGATCAAACTCCTGAGAGGAGAAATAATTCCATTCATTCTGTGACAGGCAGGAATTCAGTCAGGAAAACCGCCACCACCAACTACACACACTGTGCACATGAAACAATCTGCTCCTCTCTGGTATTCCAGAACACAGACGTGCTCCAAGAAGCATCCGGGTCCTCCTGGTTTACAAACTGGGACCAGAAACCAGAATCATTACAGAAAAGAACTTTATGATGACAGGAGAAAGAACTTTTCTTAATCCAGAAGCACATCCTTAAACCAGGAAAACCTGCGGTTCCAGTTGTGACTGAACTGATGATGAGCTTCCCGACTATCCTAATGCTCCAAAACTTTCTATCCATAGAAAAACATGTCAGGATCCGTCTGATATTTTCTGTTTATCATCCCTGTGGTTGTTTAGGTGCGACTCGAACTTACTGCTGGGAACCAGAACCCAGATTCTACCTTAATAAGGTTCATGAGCTGAGGCGGCCATCTTGAATCTGGTTCCCTGTTATGGATAAATAAATGATAAATGACCCGCACGCCTCTCAGAGTAAGGACTCCAAAGCGCTTTACACTACAGTGTATCATTCATCCATTCACACACACATTCACACACTGGTGGTGGTGAGCTACGATGTAGCCACAGCTGCCCTGGGGCGCACTGACAGGCGAGGATGCTGAGCACAGGTCCCTCCGACCACCACCAGCAGGCAAGGTGGGTCTTGCCCAAGGACACAACAGCAGAATTCTCTGTCTGGAGCCGGGATCGAACCTGCAACCTTCCGATTATTGGACAACCCGCTCAACCTGTTGAGCTACTGCTGCCCATAAGATCAGGGAAGTGACGGTACCAGCAGGTTCGGGTTCCATTCTGGGTCTGAGAAGTCCTTCCAGTACCACATAAACTCTAGAAAACAAACAGTGGTGCAGCAGTACCGTCTAACCCTGCTGGTACCAACTGGCTCGGGTCACGGTGAGTCAGTACATATATGGTAAGCTGTTTTGACATATAATCACCATGGCATGCTTTTGACGTTTGATCCGATAAGGACCCAACCTTTACAGTTTACAAATCAGGCTGGAGAAAAAGCTGAGAGTAAGAGACTTTTAAAGTCTGTGTGTCCACATGGAGGATAGACGTCCAGAGTCGGAGAGCCTCTATCCTTAGTCCATCGGAAAAAGGTGGAAACTTGGTATTCCTGCTGTAGATCCTCTGGTGAATCGATTCTGAGTTTATTGAAATTAGTCAAGTGAGATTTATTTAACACACATACACACACGCGTGCGCGCACGCACGCACACACGCGCAAACACACACACTCAAGCACACGCACACACAAGCACGCACGCACGCACGCACGCACGCATACACACACTCACAAACACGCACGCACGCACACGCGCACACACACACACTCACGCACACACGTACGCAAACACACACACACACCACAGGAGAAGGAGAGGCAAGAACATCATGGCCAGCTGATCATAAATAGATCTAGGTTCTAGTAGCCACACTAGAACCGGTTCCGTCACCAAGTGATGCTGGGATGGGGGGGCAGCTGGAAGGAGGCAGCGGCTGAATTGCAATGCCCCCCCCCCCCCCCCCCCCCCCCGCGCGCACACACACACACACACACACCAGAATCAAGCCTTTCAAACCGGTTTAAAGATTTCAGTGATTAAACCGGAATCCGAACCGGACCCGTGGTACCGTAAATATCACAGTCAGAAGAGCCCACCTCGTCCTGCTGCGGCTGGTTCGGCGGTTCTTTGGTGGCGGTCATTGTAAACTCCTGATCTGGATCCAAAACGCACCTCCGGTTCCGGTTCCGTTAGAAACAAGTCAGAAGGTTTAAAAAGGCGAGACCGGAGCTGCGGAGTGTGACGGAGTCCGTCACGGAACGTCTGCGGGGTTCTGAGGAGACGCCGGTTCACATCACGGACCCCTCCGAGAAAAGGGAGGAGAGTTTGAGACGGTACCGACAGAACCGGAGTGGTCTGGCTCCTCTGGTGCTGAGGAGGTGATGCTGTGGTCTCAGGGAGATCTCAGAGCGGGAGGGGTGAGGAGGGAGGGGAGGGGCGGGGCTGGGACTGGTTTACCAAACAGGACCGAGCCCCGGATCAGAGCAGGAGCTGTCCGCGGTGCTGATCCGCAGGGTGGGTGGCCACCGAGCCTGGCTGCAGTCAGGATCCGGGTCCTGCTCGGTCTCAGGCGGCCTGAAGCTGAGCTCCGGTCTGCAAACGCAGCTCCAAAATCCGGACACAATCCACCAAAGTTCACAGACGGAACAGCTGAGACATGATGTCCCAGAAGTCCCGGACTGCTCTGGTAATCCGGCGGTTCCTGAACAATAATCAACCCAATCAGCTCAGATCCGGTTAACCCTTCAAGAACCACTAAACCTCTAGACCCTCTCCTCTGGAAGAGGATTTAAGGAAGTCTGAGCATGACCCACTGGGATTAGAACCCACCACCAGAGACGGGCCAGATTGGTTCCCACCAGAACCACACCAGCTGGTCCGGATGGACTCCAACAGCAGAAAACCTCACGTGTCCCTGTCAGTCCCAGTCAACTCAGAACAGGAACCTGAAGCTACAATTTCCACAGGATCAGCAGAACTTGACCAGGAGAGACTGGAAAACCAGTCCTGGTCTGATGAGGCTGGATTTCAGCGTCACCAACATGGAAGTGTGGATCTGGTACCAAGGCTCGAGTCCGGGCAGGATGGAAAACTTTCCTCTGTGAGTCGGATTCAGGAAGGGCGGGAGACCAAATGACTCGAGCAGGGACAAAGACAGGGTCCATCATAAAACCACAATAAGACCTGCAGAACATTCTGATGTTTAACAGCAGCTGGGTCCTCTGTACCGCTTCCACTTGATTTAAAATGAAACCTTTTCTCACTGCGGTGTCTCACACTCATCCCAGCAGCTTCAGCCCAGTGGGACATCAGCGGTGGAGACAAACTGGATCTGGACAAACCTTTTAATTGATGGTGACTTCTGAAGCTGCTACTAGTTTCAGCTTAGCCGTTTGTCTCCTAGTCTCAGGTGTTTATGCTGACCTCACACCTCTGAGAACAAAGAAGAACCAGGATGTAGGACATCTGGAGCTCTGATGGACCACTAAAGGAACCCTCCACCAGGAACCCCAGACCAGAATCTAACTGGGACTAGGCTCAGAGGTGTAGAGCATCAACATGACCTCCATGGAGACGTCCCTCTCATGCACTCAGACTGTAACAATAACAGCAACCAACCAGATTAAACTGGTTTAACACCAGTACCGGTACCTGTTGTTCACATCAAACACAACCAGAGTGGAGATCAGCTGTTAGCTCCTCCCGATTATTTCATCTGACATCATCCTGACAGCTGCACTCCAGGGAGGGTGTGTGTGTGTGTGTGCGTGCGTGCGTGCGTGCGTGCGTGCGCGCGCGTGCGTGCGTGCGTGCGTGCGTGCGTGCGTGTGTGTGTGTGTGTGTGTGTGTGTGTGTGTGTGTGTGTGTGTGTGTGTGTGTGTGTGTGTGTGTGTGTGTGTGTGTGTGTGTGGATTCAGGGTCATCACCATCCAGAGGAAACCCAGTGCCACCGAGCATTGTTCTCCAGGGATGCAGCGTTCCTGGCCCAAGGTTCCGGTCTGGAACTTCGGCTCAGAACCGGATCTTCATGTTGGTACCAACGGTAGACCAGAACTCTGATGCTCCAGCATCAACAAATTCTATTCGTTTCACTCTGTCCTCAGAAAGTCAGAGATGTGAAATGAATAGGAAGTAATCAGATTACCCGGAGCACATGCAACACGGGGTCGTTGTCCGTTAAGCTCGAAGATCCAAGATAAAAAGTGTGTTTGTGTGTTGTGGGAGTTGAGAGCAGCACAACAGCCCTCATTAGCATAAACTCCTCTTAACCTTTGCTTTGTGGGCCTCTTACTGAGGGAGATAATGGAGTTTTCCTGTTTGGAGCGAGAGAGCGATCCAAACACCAGATCAGCCGGGATGATGGATAAATGTGATGACCTTTAAGGTAAAAAGCCTCAAACCCAGAATCAAGCTTCAGCGTGACCACATTTAAATCCTCACAGTTGTGGTGAATAAAACGTCTCCAAAAGCCTGGAAGAGGAGGAAGAGTTTGGTGGATCTGGATCCGTGGAGGAGGACTTCCTGTGGGTTCCCGGCGGCGCCAGAACCCCTTCACTGTTAGTTACACTGATTCCAGGCAGATTGCTGCAGGATCTGATTGTTATTTCTCTGCCATGGCGGCGTCCTCCTGCTGTGCCGCTTGTTTAAGGTCTGCAGAGTCTGTTTGAGTGAATGCAGCTTCAAACGCCTCAATGCCGAGCACTCTGAGAATAAAGGTGGTGGCATTAAAGCTAAGCAGGCTGGGATGGAGATCCAATCAGCAGGTTAAAGCCATCCTGTTTCAGACGAGCCCATCGTTGGTGGTCTCAGGAGTCATCGGCTCCTCCTGTAATGAAGAGCCAGACGTTCCTGGATGTGTTGTTATTCTGTAAGAGGATAAAACTGATGGAGTGAATATTTCAGAGTGAGGAGCTGCAGGAGGAGGAGGAGTAAAGGTGAGGAGGTGGGAGGAGGCCCTGGGGAAGTGTTTTGCTGAGGTGTCTGCTGTTGATAAAGTATTTATGACCCTGGGGCAATTTAGTGCAGACACTCAGAACTCCGCGCCGCCGAGCCGCTGATGAAAGTTTCATGACCCGAACTCACCGAGAGCCGTTGTGGCTCCACGGGAAGCTCACGTCACATGATCATAGATGGCTGCAGCCTCCGATAGTGACTCGGGACGGGTCAGTGATCAACAGCTGATGAATTAGAATCACCTTCACCAGAAATATGACTTGTTTTACATTTAAAATGACGTTTTCTCATTTAACAGAAGCACTATAGAGGTTTCTCTTCTTTTTTTTTTTTACTAATTTGGAGACAAAAAGTGTAATTATGTTATTTAAAGACGTCAAAGTGAAATATTTTCTAATATTAAGTTTATTCTAATATTAAAATCATTTCTGATAAATGATGGTTTGTGGAGCTCGTAGAAACTTTTTGCTTTCATAGATAATGTCTTTTTTTAACATCTGAAAACAATTAAAAACACACAGAATGCAGTTTTAGGTTGAATTTATTCCGTTTATTTACGATGAGTTCATTTCAGTTCTTGTTTTGTAAATTTTGTTTCCTTGGTTCCCAGTTTTCTGCCCCTCCTTTAGATCTCCCGTCCAGCTGGAAGCAGGTCGGGGCATTCCTGCTGTTTTGTTTTTATTATTGTTTAGAGCTTTGTTTTGTTTTTCCACATCCGGCTTGCCGTCGCTCCGTTTCTGCAACTACTTAAAGCAACAGACTCAAAACAAATCGCTTTTACTTTTAAAAAAATAGGATTTAATTTTATTTGTTTATTGTTGAAAAGTGAAGGTTCTGTTTAGGGCTGCAACTAACGATTATTTTCATAATCGATTAATCTGTCGATTATTTTTTCGATTAATCGATTAATCGGTTTGTTATTGTTTAGCTATTTAACCTATACAAGTGATGAATACATTTCAGTTAAGAAAAAGAAAAACATAAGAGAATTGTGCAGTTGACTGCAATCTATTTTATTGCACATGACCACAGTCAGCAGTGTAAAATGAGCTAAACAGTGCAAAATATCTGTCCAGAATAATTTTTTGGCATCAAAATATAAGAGGTAAATTCCATAAAAAATAATGTAGAATCTGGAATAGAGTTTGTAAGTGGTATGCATTGCTGGGGGTGAGTGTCTTGTTCCCCATGTAGTTGTCCATCGTTGCTTGTTTTTTTCTGCATAAGAAACACAAATAAACTGAATTAAGTACACATATAAAATAAAGCAGCACACACACTGCAACACTAAATCAATATTACATTATTTGAATTAATTAACAATATACAGTGATCATTTATTTTGACAAAAAATGTGTTGTGAGGCGTTTTACAGCGTTAGATAGTAAAACAGCCTTTTAATAGTTAAAAAAAGGACTTTCTGAATTTCTCCTGTATTTAAAAATTGAAAGCGTACAACTATGCCGCGTTATATTCACCTGGACACAGCTCGTCTGTATATTTTTCTCCGCGGAGTTGTCCTTTTTTGAATGAGGAACACAGTTATGGGTTTGTGCCGTTTTTCTCTTAACGAGAACATTCTTATAAACAGACGTGCTAAATTTGGCAAGCGCATGATTCACAACACGGAGGAGATTCACGATTGCATCTAGTCAATCAGAAGTACAACACCGTAAACTGACGCGGCAAAAAAAAAAAAAACCATGTTTAACATCCACTATAACGAACTCAGCTAACACTAAGTCCCAAATGTGATCTGCGTTAGCTTGTTTATTTTCTGTTACTTACCGGACTTTCCTCTGCTGCATCAGCCCCCACATGTTTTCATCTCAAATGTTCACTTAGGGACGTCGTGCTTCCGTCGTGCCATGGTTTTTGCATATTTTGCAGGTCACCGGTCTTTTCAAGGCATCTAGTGAAGTGCTCCCATACTCGTGAGGTTTTTGTCCGGGGTTTCTCTTGTTTTGTCGCTTCTATTTTTCTTCCGTATTTGTTGTTGATCCGCCATCTCTCACAGCAAGATGCGCGTCAGTAACGTGATACGTCATGAAAACCGAGGGCACTTATTGGTTAATTTCTTCTTCTACGGCCCCACTGGTAGATCAGTGGCTCATTACTGCCACACACTGGCGGCAAATTTAACAGATTGTAACGATGTCAGATTGTGGTAAAAAATAGACTTTATGCGGTAAAATATGATTATTAAACAACTAATCAATGACTAAAAAAGTTGTTAACTATTTTAATAATCGATTATAATCGATTAAATCGATTAGTTGTTTCAGCTCTAGTTCTGTTAACGTGCTGTTTGGTACCAGAACCAGACAAGTAATTATTAGCTGAATGCTTTGTTTAGGGAGGGGGCGAGGCTTGTGCTGCAGCCAGCCAACAGAGGGAGCTCTTTTTTGTTCTGGCTCTAATTTCCAGACTATTTCCTTGTTTGAGTTCAAATTTCCCTCTGCGACTCAGAACCTTTTGTTTTGTGCCGCGGTCGGCAGACAAACAGATGCAGAGGACTAGCAGGTCCAGAACCAGAACCCAGAGGCTGGACCATCTGTCCCGGCTGGCTGGAGGTAAAGCTGGAGAGCAGCTTCTCCTTCTCGAGGTTAAAAATGTAGCAGATTTCTAAAACACTGCAGTAAAACCTGCTGCATTTGACGCTCTGAGGAGTTTAATCACAAACATAAACCAGAAGAAGAGCTTTTATCTCCTGTTTTTATCGTCCATGTGGAGCTTTACTTGGTCCACTTAGCAGAACCACACAGAACAAGCTCCATTTGGAAGCCTCATCACGCGATCTGCAGCTTTTACAGCCTCCATTTGAGCTCCAGCGTCACGAATCCCGACTTCAACATGGTCAATTGGCTCCGCGAGTTAGGCTTCTCAAACAATCAGCCTGGGGTGCAGGAACATCAAACGGACCTCGGAGCAGCAGAACCAGCAGCCTTTCATCATGCTGCAGAGTCGGCATAGGGAGGATCTGCAGCGGGAAGACACGGAGAAACTTCGGCTGACCGTGATTGCGTGGCAAGGTATTGTTCTGTTGTTTGTTATTCCGTAGTTATTCCATTGTTGGGAATACAAATGAAGCTCTGATTAAAGATGGAGCACCCTGCTGCTGAGTTTTCCCATTGGGATCACCAAATGAGAGGCAGGAATGCTGCATCCTGGTTGGCCCAGAGCTTCTACAGGTGACTTGTTACAGACGGGCCTCGGGTCACTAAACCAGCTGGACGCTGAGTTAATGAAGCAGCTTTTGGTTTTTTCAGTGGTCCTATGAAGGATCAAGGCCTACTTTACTCATGTGACCGGAAATTCTTCCTTCTGTAGGTTTTCTGGAGCTCTCAAGGTGTTGAAGACCCAAACCTGTTTATCACAGGACCGGCTCCAAAAGTTTATTTATTCAGCAACACGAAGAGATGATTTCAGCTTTTTTAGTCAAATGTCAAAAAAATTAGTTAAATTTTTCTGAAAAAAGATGAAATTTGGCAAAAAGAAAAAAAGAAAAACTGAGAGAAAATCCTGTGGAACAAAAACCAGCTGGTCGTGTTGAGAGAACCGATCCAACAGCAGCTTATTGTGTTTATATAAAGCTTTGATTGACTCTGTACAGAATGGGTCAATAATGATCCAGAACCGGTCCCGTTTCTGGGAGGAACACCGACCTTTCCCACTCAAGGACATCCCGACGCTCCTGATCCCAAACATAATGAAGAAGAATTATGCATGTGAGCAGTCGGAGGAGACACAGAGCATTATTCAGAATCAATACGACCCGCGGGCCTTCACACACACACACACACACACACACACACACACACACACACACACACACACACACACACACTGAGGGGTGGCTATGCCCCCACCCCCTGTGATCACATCCTGACTCATCTGTAACAGAACCAGAACACTTTCCTCTCAAGGCTCATTTGGATTTGCTGCTCGATCTACGCGGACTGACCCGGTTCTGGATCCATGAGACAATCAGGAATGAGGTAGGCTGCATCAGCTCCTGACCACCAGCAGCAGCTTCAGGAATGACGAGTGCTACCCTCATGCTTTTTATCATGATCTGTTGTAAAAGAACATGAATGAATATTTAAGCAGCTGATCACAAACCTGCCAGGTGCGCTGGAGCCTGAAGCTCCGGCCCACAGGAAGCTGGAGTACCGCTGTGTTTGTCCCAGTCCACCACCCAGGGGTCACTCTGAAGAACTGTACTTCAGCAGCAGCAGCAGATGGAAAATCATTCATCAACAACGATGGTTGTTGCCACTGCTTCTGCAGCGTTCAGTTTCACTTGTGCACTGCAACCCGACTGCCAGCGGCCACCATAAAATGGTGACGGGCCTGGATTTGTGTAGCGCCTCCCTGGGGTTCTACAACCTCCCAAAGTGCTTCACACGCTGGTGGTGATGAGCTACGATGCAGCCACAGCAGAGGTGGGGGGGTAAAAAGGTGATCCGAGAATAAGGGAAAATATTCCCGCTTTAATAAACTCTCGACTGACGTGTTTAGACCAACATACGTGAGCAAACATTCTGAAACATTCAACTCCAAAGTCTGCATCCTTTCCATGTTTCCTTCAGTGTGTGAGAGAAATTCCAACTCTTCCACTCCGAGTCTAAATCCACACGGTGCAGAGATCTGTGAGGATTTAGGATTCTAGACAAGCATGGGTTTGCTGCACATTTCTGGAAAGCCTGCAGACCTTCTCCTTTGGGTTTGCTGCAGACTTCGTCCAACATGAGCCGCAGATGACATCTGAGCATGCTCAGATCGCTCCGGGATCAACGGCAGCCCAGAAACCAAATCACCAGCGGCTCTTAAGTGGGCCAGCGCCGGAGTCCTCCAGCAGAACCCTTCAGAGGGAGTATGAGCCCACTCACAGGAGTGGAGGGGAAATGTAGTACCAGCTTGTTCAGTGAAGGTCATGGAGGTAAACATATCCTCCTCTTCCTCACTATTCTGGATAAATCAGCTTTTTGTTTTACTCACCTCACTTAATACGTCTTTAATAGGCGGTCGTTGGAGTTTCTGTAGCTCATCTCAGCTCAAATAGACCAGGAGGCAAATAAATAAATAGATAAATAGATAAATAAAGAAAGAAAGAAAGAAAGAAAGAAATGAATGAATAAATGAATAAATAAATGAATAAATAAATAAATAAATAAATAAATAAATAAATAACAAGCACGTAGCATGGAGAACAAAGTAAACATTATGTGATTGTTTGACTGGTCAGTGCCACTCAGAGTCCAGTCTCATTTTCTTTTGTCCTGTTTTGTTTTTAGTTTTCAGCATAAATTATTTTCTGGAACGACTCTGAGCCGCAAGGGGAAAAAACTAAAACTTTTAGTTATTTAGTTATTGTTGGTAAATCCTCATTACAAAATAAAAGCATGGACAAAAAGGAACTCAAGACAACATTCTGAGCTAAGCCTAAAATGTTTGAAGTAGGACACAAAAATATTCTTTAATATAAACATGCATAGATTTCTAAAATGTATCCATCAATAAATGTTTTATTTATCTGACGTCAACAGCAGAAATTGTCCATTTCTCCTCTGATGCTGAAGTCTTTTAGTTTAAAGGGACATGCCACCCCAAAGTAAAGTGTTGTCTGCTGATATGTTCTACTTAGTTAGATATGTGAATAAAACTATTCGTAAGCAGAACCGGCAGCCCTCCTTTAGCTTAGCATAAACAATTATAAAGCTAACTATGGGGAACATGGCAACAGACGACATTTCATTTTGAGGTGGACCATCCCTTCTAAATAAACTTATTTTATTTTTCTATTTGAAAATTTATGAAATATTTGATGATATGGTCTAATTTAGACCTTTAACTAACCTAAAACCAGTTATTTGTTTCTTATCATGGTTTATATCAATATTGACTAATATGTTAAAAACAGGATTTTTCGTTTTTCTTTTCTCACAGTGCCACTTTCATCATTTTAGATTCAATACAGAATAAAAAGTAAAGCCCATCACGCCTTTTAGGATGAAAATCAGAGAAACGTGTTTTTAAAACACAGACAAGAACAAAACAATCGGTCATTTGAACCAATCAGGCAGCACTGTTATAAAAGCAGAAAAGAGCTGCTGCAGGAGCCTGGAGATCCTGTGCTAGGGATAAATAAATATCCCCATCATGTCATATACCACCAGTGTGTTTTGCCCTCTTTCTACCATCTCATCTGCACAGATCTGAGACAAAAACTACAGAAACTGTTTTACAGAAATGAACATACATTATTCCGGAGAGAATCTCAGAAAACAACTCTACAGGATCAGGATATTCCAAAAGGATAATTACAGCCTTTAAAACCCGTGAATGAACACTTTCACATCCTGTAGATTAAACCTAATGAGTCTGCTCAGCTTCATAATTCCATCAAACACTTCCCAAAGCTAAAACTGGGACTTTTTGTCTCTGTTAATCAGCTGAAAGTAAACGGCATTACATGATTTAGGTGACATGAATCTAAAGCTGTGGACGCTGTTCTTCCGTGTCACTCAGATTCTGGAAAGTTCCTCACAGCGGAAACGGGTCGTGCTGAAAGGCTTCGGTGATCAGATGCAGCGGATTAACGAGGTCTAACTAACAGCTGGATGCTGCTGATCACATCTGGATGTAAAGAACACATCTGGGATAAACGTTCCGATCGTGTGGGTTTAAGCTTTATCCTGCTGTTTGAATGATGTCATCTTTATTACATCAGCTTCGACTCTTCATCACGAGTGTTTTCTCTAATGGTCATCCTCATCACCGCCTCATTTTTCATCCTCTGTGGTCCTCACCGACCCATCCATTTACATTTGAATCCATCTTTTATCCACTCCAAGCACTCTTTTTATGCTCTCAAACACAACTCACTTCTTTTTTTAACAAGGAACCTTTTTGGGAGTTCATTATCATCCGGCCCGGCTGGTTGTTATCTGTTAAATCCGTCTCCTCTGGGTCTTTCCTTGGCGATCCATCATGTTTCCACCATCTTCAGAAAACCGCCTCTTACCTTCTACTGTACCTGAGCTGCTATCATAATGAAATCTAAATTATAGGCCGAGTCCCGCTGCTGCAGCTCCTTTTGTGAGGACTTCTGCAGCAGAAAACGGTTGATTGTAGCTGCTTGACATTTAATAAAAACACTGATGGCTGTGAAGAAAACGAGTTGGAATGGAGGGGTCGGGCCTCTCAGGTCTCGGAGGTGAGGTGTTCGTGACTGGGACACTGATGGCTGCAGACACCGGGAGAAAAGAGAAGCAGAGTCTGTTTGTGTTCAAGTTTCCTCTGAAGACCAATGTGTGATGTGTTTTCTGACCTCCAGTTTACAGGAAAAACAAGCGCCGCGGCTCCCGGGAGCTGCGTGGGCAACAACCATCTATTGTGCTCTGGATCTTGGAGTTGTTCAGGGAGAAGAACAGGTGTCAGTCCTTTGTTACGGATCAAACACAAACGCTACCTGCTGCTGCCTTCTGCCAAACTACAGACGGCTCTCAGACTCATGCGAGGACTGAACAAAAGGAAATTCCTGCGTTTAGAATCACATTATTTCAGCTGATTTCATGATGAATTTAAAAATTATTTTTTTAAATAACTTAATAATGTGACTAATAAGTGATTTGGAACCATAGACTGAGGTTTTGACCTCCGCGCCGTCGCCCGTAGGTTTCTGAACTGAAGCCCTGTGGGCGGTTCCCTCCACCACCAGCTGATGACACATCTGATACCTGTCAATGACAAGGACACACCTCGAATCTCAGGTTTAAATACATCTAAACAGATGAGGTAAAAGGTCTAAACCAGATCTATTCAACCTAAAACCTTTTTATGAACCAGGCTGTAAACACGTTTATGTCTGCTGTGACGTTAACGTGGGGCTTAGGGGGATCTTTGCTTTACTTCTGGCCGTTTTTTCCTCTTAGTTTGGAATTAAAACCCTCATCTGTATTTGAAACATATGTGGTTACCATGGCAACCCCGCTGAGCTACTGATAGCAGCTTTGACGTTCCTGTTGATCTTGGTTCTATCGCTTTAAGACTTGTGCCAGTTACTGCTTGTGCAGACACGTACTCTCTATTAGCGACATCAACTCTTAAACACCACATCAGAAAACAACGCCAAAGAAATCTGTGCAGGTTTTCACTCTCAGGAATTTTAAATAAACACTTTTGTTTAATCTGAATAATTATCCAAGACATTTTTCCTCCCTGATAACATCTTTTCTTCCTTCAACGTGCCAGAGGCGCGGCTCTGAGGGCTCAGAGGACACAGATGCTCCATGATTAGACCCATCTCTGTGAAGGCAGAATACCAATCCTGATAAAGGTGCCCTTGTCCTAAAAGGCCCAGCATGACTCTGCTGTCTGTGATAACTGATGCTCTTGACATTTTAACCAATGAGGCTGTAGAGTGGAGAGACAAACAAGGACAGGAGGAGACTCAGCCCAGAGCTCTCTCCTCTCCCACATCCTCTCACTCCTCCGGTTTTCCATGTTACACGTGCAGACTGCGTGATGTTGGAGTGAGGCCAGCCCATGTAGGATTCCACACGTCTGATGAACTCTCGGCTCTGGCTGTGTACCGTCTCTTCAGCCACGTTCATAAACAGCGAGGCACTGGGCTTTGCTCTGGGAAGATCGATGATTTGTTTTCCTGAGCTTCTTTGTTCAAGGACAAACTGCAGATGTGACTGAAATATTAGTTTTTCCGTGTAAAACATTACTCCTAAGAAGCTGGTCCGGCCTTGGTTGGGTGAGAAGATGATGGAGTCTGACAGCTGACTGCAGCTCTCCACCTACCGCCTCTTCATCACTTAGCTCCAGAGAGTGTGAGGAATCCATCTCAGCGTCACGCCACCGTCGTTATCCACAAATCAGATCAGTTCAAAGCGGGAAAGAGTGGATAACAGCTATATTTATAGTCAAAATAAGATTAAATCAAAAGAAAGAACTCCTGAAGAAGGTTCCAGTGGAAATTTTATCCTGCAGCTAACTCTAGAACAGCCTCAGTCAGTCCTCAACCGGATTAGCTAATGGCTAATCCAGAAATGCTAATCTACAAAAAACAATAAAAATGCTTTTATTAGTATTTATTAGTAATTCTGATGAGAATGACGACATTTCTACTGTAATCTAAAGTAATTTACTGCACACACACACACACACACACACACGCGCGTGCAAACACACACAAACACACGCGTGCACACACACATGCATGCACGCAAACATACACACACATTCACATGCGTGCAAACACACACACACACACAGACGAACAGATCGTTCTGTTAGAGAAGAAGCTGTGGAAGGAACAGCAGCTCGCGCTCCGCCCCGTTCTGATGGAGGAGACAGAAGGTAAAAGAGTAACGGTTCTGTTTCTATCATCCCTTCCTTCCAACACGTTCCCTGTCCAGAACAGGCGTGTTTATGGACTCGGCCGAATCCTTAAAGCTTCGGCTGAATTACTGTTTATGAATGACCTCTTTAGGCTTCGTTAATTGGTGCTTAACACTGTCATTAGGATTATAGATCTGCCCCTCGGTTTTTACAGCAATATAAATGTTAATATTGTTGGTTAGGGCTGGTTTTAAGATCCTGAAACAGCAGGAGACATTACAGCAATAAAACCTGTGAAAATATGCATAAAGAATAATAAACATTATTTCTCATAGCTGTGGGAATGTGATGGAGAGGATGTATGAATCCCTATTCACCCTTCATTTCCTAACCTAACTCTACTCTTCTTCTGAGTGCCTGGAACATACGGCCGATCACCAACCTTTGACCTAAGCTGCCCTGGTACCATGTGTACTGATGAACTCCTTATGTTTGAACATGGTGTTCGTTACAGACAAACACCAGGTTTAGGTCAGACGGGTTGTTCCTCCCAATCCCACCCAAACAGTCATGACCCGCTTCCCGACCCAAAGATGTAAGGAAGCAAGCCTTTTGTGGCCAGGCTAACTCCAACATACTGCCCTATCTGGGGCATATGTGTGTATATATGCGGCGACGGTGGCACAGGAGTTAAGTGCTCGCCCCGTAATCGGAAGGTTGCAGGTTCGAGCCCCGCTCAGTCTGTCGCTGTCGTTGTGTCCTTGGGCAAGACACTTAACCCATGTCGACTGCTGGTGGTGGTCGGAGGGACCGGTGGCGCCAGTGCTCGGCAGCCTCACCTCTGTCAGTGCGCCTCAGGGCAGCTGTGGCTACATCGTAGCTCATCACCATCAGTGTGTGAATGTGTGTGTGAATGGGTGAATGACTGATTGTGTTGTAAAGCGCCTTGAGGGGTTCCAGGACTCTAGAAGGCGCTACATCAAATACAGGCCATTTACCATTTACCATATATAAAACATGTCATACATATATATATATATATATATATATATATATATATATATGACAGAAAAATACTTTATATAGAAAGTTCTTGAGTCAGAGAACTGTGGAAGTTGAAACAAGGTGTAAAATATATAAAAATAAGTTGACAAACACTTTGAGAAGCTGTGAAAAAACTATTATGACGAGATACTACAAAAAAGTAAAAATGACATTAAAGCAACATGGAACATTTTAAATAATCTGATTAGAAAGGCACCAAATAAAAAGAGTTATCCGGATTAGTTTTTTGTAAACATAGGACCTAACCTAGCAAAAACACTTGAAAAATCAGGGAGTAGTAAAGAAAGTGAAAAAGACTCCATCTATGTTTTTAAAACCAACAAATAAAAATGAAATTATCAATACTGTTAATACATTTAAGAATAAAACATCAAAAGACTGGAACGATATAGACATGACATTGGTGAAAACAGTCACTGGAAATATAGTTCAACCACTAGAATGCATCTTAAATTTGTCTCTATAATCAGGTATTTTTCCACAGAAAGTGAAAAGGGCAAAAGTCATTCCATTATTTAAGGAAGGAGAAAGACATGAATTTACCAGTTACAGACCTGTGTCTCTGCTTTCACAATTCTCAAGATTTTAGAAAAACTTTTTGCAGATAGATTGGACAATTTTACCAATAAACAAAACCCACTCATAGACAACCGGTATGGATTTAGATGTTGCTTAGCTTTATTGGACTTAGTAGAAGAAACAGCTAGTGCTATTGATAGAAAACAATACGGTGTAGGAGTATTTATAGATTTAAGGAAAGCATTTGACACTATAGATCAAGATTTTATTTCAGAAAATGGAACAATATGGTGTTAGAGGTAGGGATGCACCGATACCGATACCAGTATCGGTAAAAGTTAGCCGATACCAGGAACCGATACGCAGTTGCTTGAAAATGGCTTCACAGTGACTGGTCATTTCTGTTCACCTAATATTTTAATTTTGTGATGATTTCTATTCATATATTTTACTTTTTATCAGCCTCACAGTCTTTTCCTGTTGAAAGCAGGGAAGAAAGTCAAATCTGTATTACAAATCATTGCAGTTTTTGTGTGGTAGAAGTATCAGTATCGGTAATCGGTATTGGCGAGTACTCAGAACCAAGTATCGGTATCGTATCGGTTTGGAAAAAAGTGGTTATCGTTGCATCCCTAGTTAGAGGTATTGCATTAGACTGGGTGAAAAGTTATATGACTAAACGGGAACAGTTTGTGCAGATGAATGAATTCAGTTGAAGTATAAGCAACTTAATTTGTGGAGTCCCACAAGGGTCAATACTGGGTCCAAAATTATTTATTTTGTATATTAAAGATATCAGTAAGGTCTTGAACATATTGAAAATGTTTATGTTTGCAGATGATACTAATGTATTATGTGTAGGAGATAATTGCTAGATGTTGTCAGGGAGGAACTGATAAAACTGAAGCAATGGTTTGACAAAAATAAACTATCAATAATTTAAAAAAAACTAAATGTATAATATTTGGAAATTGAAGCATCAATACAAATGTGAAAATTATGATTAATAATACAATGATTGATAGAATTTGGAATGTAAATGTTTAGGTAACATAATTGACCACAAACTATGTTGGAAACCACAAATCAAACAGGTTACTGCAAAATTAAGAAGTATAGGAATACTATCTAAAGTTAAATATCTCCTAAAAATCAAAGTGTTGCATACATTGTACTGTTCACTTATTCTGCCATACCTCAATTATTGTATAGAGGTGTGGGGAAATACTTATAAAGCCACCTTACAGCCATTATTTAATCTAAAAAAAATAAGAATAATACATAATGTAGGATTCTATGAGCATACCAGTAATCTATGTTTAAAATCTAATCTGCTTACGCTCAACGATATTGTTAAATAAAACTCGGTGCAAATAATGTATAAATTTGAAAAATCTACTTCTTCCCCTGAACTTACAAACACATTTTAGGGAGAGAAGGAGATGATATGCTCAGAGGCCAAAGTAACATGAGACAATCATGTACGTACCACACAGAAAAGCATGACCATTTCAGTCCGAGGAGTGGTTTGGTGGAATAGCATAGAGGAAAACATAAATAACGTTAAACTGTTGTACAATTCAAACAATTATATAGTAATGAATTATGAGAGACGTTAAGGACTTGGTAAAGCAAAGTCAATAAGATCAAAGTTTGAATTTTGATTTTGGATTTTATTTAAGAAGTAAAATATAAGTGTTTATATGATGTATTGCTAATGTGAACATTCAAAGTTTGCTTATTGATTTTGTTTATGATGTATGTGTAGAGATGTTTATTTGGATTTTGGAAATGGAAAGATGTTGAGGGATAGGGCAATGAAAAGCCTTGAGCTTCTTCCTATTCCCCTTTGAGGACCAAAGAGAATTTTTTGTTTTGTATTTGATTTTAATTTGTTTGAATGGTCTGAAGTGAGTGAGTGAATAAATAAATAAATAAATAAATAAATAAATAAATAAATAAATAAATAAATAAATAAATAAATAAATAAATAAATAAATAAATAAATAAATATTGGTGGTATGGTGGTCAGTCATTTTCTAGGCGTGGCCATGGGTTCTACCAGAAGAACCTACCAGCCCAGTTCCTTCCACAGCTGTGTTCAGGTGTAGCTAGAAGGTCTGATGCTGTTCCGGAGGCAGAGATGGTCACTCCAGATCTGGTTTGGTTTCCTTTGTTCATTTTTTTGGTTTTTGTTGTTGATGAAAATAAATAATTAACTTTTTCATGTTTTTGTTTGTCTGCTCCCTGGTGTTGGATATTTCAGTTGCATCAATTGTTGTGATTTGGAGACTTTCTAGACAATCACAGCCTTATATAACATTATTAGTGTCCATCCATCCATCCATCCATCCATCCATCCATCCATCCTCTTATCCGGGGTCGGGTAGCGGGGGCAGCAGCCTCAGCTGGGAGCCCAGACTTCCCTCTCCCCAGCCACTTGGGCCAGCTCCTCTGGGGGAATCCCAAGGCGTTCCCTGGCCAGCAGAGACATTCCCTGCAGCGTGCCCTGGGTCTGCCTTTAGGTTTTCTCCTGGTTGGACGCTGAGGAGGATTCAGCGACTTTATAATAATCTGTCTGTTCATTTCTGTGAGCTCAAACTCACAATTTCAGCTTCTACTAAAATAAAAGTGTGTAGAAACTGGAACTGTAAAATAATCAACAGTGTGTACAGATTATACATATTGGATTAGAATTGGATGATCTAGAAGTTAATTTAATAAGTTTATGAATGTCATTTCCCAAAAGTCTTGAGTTTTAAAGGAACCTCGTCCTGGTGAGCAGCGTGAGGCCTCCAGCAGCATCAGCTCGGACAGATCCAGATATCGACAGGACTCTGACAGGTTGGCAGCTTGCATACTGAACGCATTACGACCCAATCAATAATGTGTGCTTTAGCTTTCAGCACTTAGCTAACGGTAATGTGAGCGGGCGGCGTGATCCGAACACACTCCTGCAGCAGTCCCTGTTCATCCGGAGTGGCGTTTATCCTCCTGATCCAAATGATGGCTCAATTTCACCATTTTTTTTAATCTTTATTTTTAATGCAAAAATCTCAAAATAGTTTCTTCATGCTGTCATTATGGGATGGTGAGCGTAAAAGAAAAGTGTGGGACCTCTCAGCCATTGGCCGAGGCAGACCGCGGTTCACAGTTGAGGCTGAAGAGGGCGCTGTACCAACAGCTTTAAGGCGACTTTTGACATTTTAAAGAGAATGCACCAAAATGCTAAATGACGGCACTTATCTAAAGCACTGTTAGACACTCATTTGTGCACTTGTATCTGATTTTGGTGAGACTTGCTCTTTACGTAAAACATGAATGGGATCCATGTTGGAATACGGCTGAAGCCAACAGCATCTGGAAACAGATGTGCTGTAAAACCTTTCCGGTGCCTTGGACAGCCCGTCTCTGAACCCCTCCGTGTCTCCGGTCCACGTGGTTTCTTAAAAGTTTCCCTTTGGAAATGTTTCCTGAAAACTCAGTTTGAGTCCAAAGGCAGCAGAAAATCCTCGTCCTGCTGATCCTGGTGAGTCCACACCACCTGTTTAATAAACCCAAACATCCCATAATAAAATAACAGTAACAGAACGGGTGACTTACGTAAAATGACTAAAACTGTAGACGACGAAACAAATGCCCACCAGACTCTCGGATACTGTTGTACCGGAGCGTCCGTGGAAAGGCATCCACCTCCTGACAGACACAATTATCTGAACCGGCTGGGTTTTACCGGAGTCAGCTGAAACCACGGACACAGAACATTCCGGCTTTACCTTCCAGAGCAGCAGAAGTCAGTTTCTGTGACTTCCTCTGCTTTTGCCGAACAACGACAACAAAGATTCCAGGCAATGACCTGCAAACATCCATAAATATTCCTCCGTGTTGGAGGGGAATGCTTTCCTGTGTGTGGGTCCGGGCCCGGCTAAAATATTACACACAGAGTCTTTATTCCGGTGGCTCCAGTGTGATGGAGGACTCCTGCAGCTTTGACATCCTGTTAAACGTCTCCGCCTTGCTGCCACTCTGGGAGCTGGGATAATGGCAACATGAGAATCAGCATCGCCCCGGAGTCCGGGCACGATATATTTAACCCAGGATGTTCAGAGCCAGAACCAATATTAGCCGTGTTGGACCGGAGTTCAGAAGCCATGCGGTAATGTTGGTGTCGTTACTTCCTGTTGGCAGCATCTCATCCAACCTGTATCTGAAAATCTATAAAAATGTTCACTGTGGCTCAGAAACGTCCGTTCATGTTTTATATCAGAGATTGGGACAGAGACCAGAGCAAACTGTTGATTCTGTTTTATCTTCCAGGCTGCAGCGAGCCTTGGCAGCCCACCGCCAGGCCCGGAGCATTTAGCCAGATCAGAGCCCGGGAATGAGGATGGATGGCGAGCAGTTCGGGGGACAAACAGTCCATCA